AGCCGCCAGGTCCATGGCGGACTGTATCACCCACGAGTTTAAGTGCCAGATTGCCAGCAAGAAGAGTCAGGTTCTCGCGTCCCATCAAGCTCTCCAGAACCAGCTCAGGACTGCTCTGGGGCCTCTGGCAGGCCCGAACAAGGACCGTTCGGGATCCAACCTCGGGGTTGAAACTGGGGCTGGACGGCCCCAAAGGAGATGGAGAAAGTTTCGGAAGCTCACCGAGCGCCTGGATAAGATGCGTAAAAAACTTAATCGGGTGCGCATGCTGAAACGTGCTGGGGGGGGGGGGGGGGGGGGCACTCACAAGCTGCATGAGACTGGCCTCGAAGCGGCCGCCAAATTTGGAGTCGAGGTCACCAGCATCATCGGCTCTCGACTTGAGCCAGCTAGGTCGCAGTTTCTCGGTGCAGCGGGTCCAAGGTGCCCGACGCGCAGCCGCAGTTGGGCGCTGCTCATCCTCAGGGGCCTTATGTGGAAAGCTGCTTTAGGCCCTGCCATTATGTGGCACCGTCTTGTTTGGGATGCGTCCACCCGCCCTCGCCTCGCCCTGGCCAGTTTCCAGCAACTGCGTTTGTGGGCGGATGCCATCCTCCCGAGAGTTTCAAAATCTTGGAGTTCCTCTAGGGGCCCTCTTAGTGCGGCCGTGCTTTCCTTGAAACGTAGTGGTTTGGAAATCCAGGGGCCGTCTAAGTTCGTGACGTCCTCAGGCCTTGAGTGCCCTCTTCTAGGACACCCCCCCGCCTTCCTCCACAAGCTCATGGGGCGCGACTGGCGCGGCCAGCTCGCCATGGGGGCGGTCGTGAAGCTCGGCCACCCGAACGCTCATATAGATGTTGCGGATGCTCGTGGCGCGCTCGCTTCGGACCTCCTAGGCCACCAGAAGGGCACGCTCCTCGCCTTCCTCGCCCGGAGTATATGGACGATGGAGAGAGCCAAAGCAGCAGGATATGATGTCCCAGTTGAATGCGAGCGTGGCCACCCCTCGGACAATCTCGGTCACAGACTATATACACTGCCCGAAGACGGTAACACTCAGATCCTCTCACTTCTCGAATGCGGAGCTTCTGTGTTTAAGAGAGGACCCGCCCCACGCCACGCCCCTCCACCTTGGGTTCCAGGTGGTTCCAGAGTTTCGAGGAGAGCCTCCACCAGGCACTGGGTTTGAGTTCGGGGAGTTTTGGCGTGCTCAAACTGGTCTAACCTTCAAGAGGCCTGCAACGAAGGGGAAGTGTCTGTGGACGTTAGTTGCACCAGTTACGGCCATTATGTGTTCAATGCCGCATATTTCGCGGTAGTCTGTGTGCGCGACGGAGAAGTTGCTGCCCATTTCAGCGGCCGCGTTGGCTAGATGTTTTCCCAAACCCCAGGAGTCGCGGAGCATCTGGCGTCAGTCGCTGCCAGTTTGTTGCCCAGGGGCATTGCAGTGATTTATTATGACTGCAAGGGGGTCCGGCTACTGCACCGAGGTAGCGAGCATCCCCGTCGCAAGTTGTTGGTTGGGTTTAAGGTCCTGGCTGGCAGGGGGCCCCTTCTCTTTGGGGCGGAGGCTCCAAAAGCTGAGAGCCCACCAGGACACGCGGGCCCTGCCCGTAGGCGGCGAAGCCCGCCGACTGGCGGAAGGTACTGATGCAGCACTCCGCTCGGCTAAGGCTGCCGCGCACAAGGGTGTTCAGCCCAGCGAAGCAGAGAAAAGCAACTTTGCAGATGATCGGAAGTTCCTGATCAAATACCTCAAGCATGTAGCCCAGGCTCTGGGAGAGTGGCCCGCGATCGCCCCCGGGAAAAAGCAGAGTTTAGGCCGCCCCAGAGAAGAGCCTGTCTCCCCCCGCGGGTGCTGCCTCTGCCCTGACATCGCGGGCGCCGCCGCTGTCGGTCGCGCCTCCCCCTTCTCCTCCATCGGGGCCCCGCGAGGTTCCCAGGGGGCCCAGGAAGCTTCGCTCGTGGGCCTTAATATCAGGATATTGGCGCTGCATTCTGCGTCGAGTGCAGACTAGGGTGATGAGCCAGAGGACAGCCCTTTCGGCTAAGAGTTGCCCTGGTCACTGTAAGCAGTTGTCAGATCTCGTGCATGGCAAGAAAGGCCATGCTTTGTTTTATTATGAGCACCTTGAGCATCACACGGGCATCTTGGTTTGCCATAAGTGTGGATCCTACTCGGAGGGGGTGGGTCGCGGGCCCACTGGAGTGTGCGGTACCCGGGTGAATCGCCAAGGCGCAGCCACTCAGCTTGCCCGCGTCCAGGGGTGTCGTGCCCCGAAGGGCTCTAAATCATCCCCGATCGCTTTTGCGACCCCAGGAATACCCCTGGCCCGATTGGTTCGCGACGAGCAAGCCATGGCCAGAGGGGGGAGGCACCGAGTCCTACATAGTTCGCCGTGCCCACGGCGGACTTCGCACTCATCTGCTGTGTGCGCCCTTCCTCCTGGCGTCGCCTCGTGCCTTCTGCGTGCTTGCGCGCGCGTGCGCGCGCGCTCCGCGCGCGCGTCAGACACCCCGTCTCAGGGGGTAGGCGCGCTAGTTTGCACCCGCTGCGGCTCAGCTGCAGCCCCGAGGCCCGCCGGGTCCTCGCTCTCGTTCACTGTCGGCGGTCTGCCGTATCACTCGGCCCGAGAGTCCTGAAGGGCCCGCGCCAGGGGCGCGGCCTGCCCGCCGTCCTGGCGTCATTTACACCAGGGGTGGGCAGTGCCGCGTCGTCCTGGCGTCGCCTCGGACACTCTGCGTGCGCGCGCGCGTGCGTGCGCGGCCCCGCGCGCGTGCCAGGCACCCCGCCTCAGGGGGAAGGAGCGCTGTGCACTCTTTCTCTGCGGCACGGCGCGCCTCTGGCGATTCCCTGGGTCGACCGCGGAACGCTGCCCAGCTCCCCCACACACAGAAAGCCTTCTGTGCTGCAGCTGAGCCTAGGCCCGCAGAAGGTTCGATCAGGGGTTTGTGTCGTCCTGGCTGGCGGTGCTGGTGTCGCGCAGCCAGCCCTGGAACTCGGGCCTTCGGGTTCCGTCGGCCAGGCGGTGCTAGCCGTCCTTTTCGATGCAGCGTGCTGTTTGACGATGCCTTGTTGCACGGCCGTGGAGCGCTTGCTGGCTCCCTCTACGGTGACAGTTGCACATGGGGGGGCGCCCCCGTGGGTTCTGGGCACGGGGGAGGACTTGGTTTGCCAGTCCACCCCGTCCGCTGCTGAGCCCCACCCCTCCCCCCTGCGTTCGTGGGCGGCGGAGGTGAGGCGCCGCTGCGGCTAGGTGTGCAAACGCCACATCAGGGCCCAGCGCCCTCGCTCAGCGTCGGCAGCGTCCTGCCGTCTCAGCGGCCACGTGGTGCACCCTCGGCCGTTGTGAAGAACATAGGCGGCCCAGTGCCACGAGGTTTTGGGTTAGGGTCGGGTCGGCCAACCCTTAGCCTCCCTCTTAGCCGTTTGATGTTCCTCCTCCTCCTCCTCCTCCTGCTCTTCCTCCTCCTTCCCCTCCTTTTCCTCCCTCTCCTCCTCCTCCTCCTCCTCCTCCTCCTCCTCCTCCTCTTCCTCCTCCTCCTCCTCCTCCTCCTCCTCCTCCTCCTCCTCATCATCATCATCATCATCATCCTCATCCTCATCCTCATCCTCATCCTCATCCTCATCCTCGTCCTGCTGCTGATGCTGCTTCTCCGCCTCCTCCGTAGCCATTTTGGCTCAAGCCATTGCTAGGCCCCTGGATTGAGTTCGCTGCTGTCTCCGCCTGGTCCCATGGATCCCCTGGCGGCTGGCCTCCTCCGCGCGGCCGTGGGGGCAGGCGGATCGCGGCACGTCGTGGCGGCCACGGCGGTCGCTTTGTGGCGTGCGGCCCGCGACGGCGGCGGTGCTGGCGTCCTGTGCAAGCCGGGGATAGAGGACGAGGTCAGCGGCCGCGTCGCACTGGTCGAGCCCGTCCTCAGGGCCAAGGTCGTGGCGGCCCACGTGGCCACCCAGGCCCGTATCGACAGCAGGACCCGTGCTGCGCGCAACATCGCGGAGCACGCGCTCTTCGGCGACGGCGCGGCGGCGCTCCCTACCACTGCAAAGGAGGCGAACCAGAAGCAGAGGGGGCGACGCCGTGGCGCTCTGGCCGAACCGCTGGAGAAGCTGGCTTCGCAGCCGAAGGCGAAGACGATCGGGGAACAGAAAATGAAGGACATCTCTCGCGGCCCAGATTGCAAGGCCACCGACGTGAAGGAGCTCGTGTTGGCCATGAGCGATGGAGACGTACACCTGGTTCTACAAGGGGGATACCAAGAACGACTCCGAGCTGACGAGGGAGCTGATGAACTTCGTCGTCGGGTGCACCCCAGATTGCAAGGCCAAGCATGCGGTGAAAGAGCTGATGTCGGACATGCGACGGATACGTGCTGGTCCTGGAAAAATCTCGGTTCCACAAGGGCGAGACCAAGAACGGCTCCGGGCTGATGGGGGAGCTGGCGAGGATGGGTTTCAAGGGTGACCGTGACGGCGAGGCCACCGATGAGGTGAAGGGTTTGGCGTCGGCCATGAGCGACGGAGGCGCGCTGGTCCTGGAGAGCACTCGGCTCCACAAGATGTTTGGGGAGCTGATAAGGAAGGACATCAATGGCGACTTTGACTGCAAGGCCATCTATGAAGTGGAGGAGACGGTTTCGGCCAGGAACGACGGTGACGTGCTGGTCCACCCGGGCTCGGCCCACGCCAAAGGCGTGAGGCTTCGGCAGTGGTCTTTGGGGTGCTTGGGGGCCTCGCGGAGAATTTAATGCCTGACCCTTTCGGATTGTTTCCAGCCTCCTCCTCCTCCTCCTCCTCCTCCTCTTCCTCCTGCTGCTCCTTCCTCAATTTTCCTCCTCCTCCTCTTCTTCCTCCTCCGCCTCCTCCTCCTCCCTCGTCCTCCTCCTCCTGCTGCTGCTCCTCCTCCTCCTCCTTCTCCTCCTCCTTCTCCTCCTCCTCCTCCTCTTCCTCCTCCTCTTCCTCCTGCTCCTCCTCCTCCCTCATTCCTATTCCTCCACCTCCACCTCCGCCTCCGTACGAGGCGTGTCCTCACGGTGCGCTGCTGGTCGCCCGGGCGCCGCCACGTGGAGTGCGAGGGCAGGGCAGGCCAGGCCCAGCCGCCGCTCGACGCGGCGGCCTTCGCGGCCTGGCCGCTGAAGCCGAGGCCCGGCGACCAGCTGACGGCGCCGCGCGGCCCGCAGCCGCCCAAGCTGGTCAGTCGCATGTCGCAACCGACCACTCAGGGCCCATGCCGATTCAATATCGATTCGGGCCAGTCCGATTCGACTCGACTCCGATGCTCCAGCGATCCGATGCGGCCCGATGCCCGCATGGCATCCCAATGCGGCCTGGCGCGGCCGTTCCGATGCGAGTCTGGCTCCGCGCCAGTGCGGCCCGATTCGATTCGCATTCCGATCCGATGCGTTTTCCGATTCGACGTTGGTTGTTCCTCCTCCTCCTCCTCCTTTTCTTCCTCCTCCTCCTCCTCCTTTTCCTCTTCCTCCTCCTCCTCCTCCTGCTCTTCCTCCTGCTCTTCCTCCTGTTCCTTCTCCTGCTCTTCCTCCTCCTCCTCCTCCTCCTCCTCCTCCTGCTCTTCCTCCTGCTCTTCCTCCTGCTCCTTCTCCTGCTCTTCCTCCTGCTCCTCCTCCTCCTCCTGCTCTTCCTCCTGCTCATCCTCCTGCTCCTTCTCCTGCTCTTCTTCCTCCTCCTCCTCATCCTCCTCCTCCTCCTCCTCCTTCGGCACCTCCTCCTGCTCGTCGTCCTCCTCCTCCTCCTCCTCCTCCTCCTCCTCCTCCTCCTTCCGATCCGATCCGAGTTTCCGATCCGATGTTGGCTGCTCCTGCCACCTTTGGAGGGCCGAAAGCTAGGCTCCCCCCAGGGGCGCGAGGGTAATCGCGCTTCGCGCGCCGCGGCCTGTGTGGGGGGGGGGGGGCGCCCTTCCCCAGGGCGGCGGCGGCGCCAGGGCGCGAAGACAGTCGCGCATCGCGGGGCGCGAGGCGCAAGGTCCTTGGCGGTGGAAGTGGGCATGGAAAGATCGGCGACGGCGAGCCACGGTAAATCCTGCCCAGTTTGAGCGTACAGGGGGGGCGCGCATCAAGAACCTGGATGTCGTTCGTCAGGGTGCCCTTTGGTTTCTTCGCGCCGCGTTCTGCGCGATGGGTTCTCGCGGTTGCCAAGAAATTGTCGAGTCCAGGCTCCCCTGGGTTTCTTCCCAGTTGCATCTAGGGCAATCAAACGGCCCGCTACCGAAGAAACCCCCAGGCGCCAAAGGCCCCCTGGGTTTCTTTGGCGACGCCCCCAGACAGGATGTGGCGCGGCGGGGGTTGCGGGGAAATTTCGCGGCCCGCCAATGCGCATTCGGTTTCTTGGAACATTGGGACTGGCCGTCGGGCGTTAGCGGCGACAAGAGAATATGTTACGGGCTTTCGCGGGGCACCCGACGATTTCCTTTGGCCACGGGAACGCTGCCACAATCCCATGTAGTTTACGTCCCAGATCGCCATGAGTTTCTTCCCAAGCCGTACTGGCGTATTCTATGAGCGCGGCCTGCTAAGAAACTGCTCGGGCCAGGGCCCCCTGGGTTTCTCCGTGTGACGCCGTCGGTTAAGAAACCCAAGCCTTGGGCAAGAAACTTTGCGGCTTTTCAGGGTTCGGTTTCATGCGATGGTTTCTTGTGGCCGCGCCCCCACTGTACCGCTCTTCCGGAGAGGGCACCGGAGAGGAGCAATCGGGGCTCAGGAGGAATCGCTCAAGAGACGGGGGTCAATGCAAACGGGGGTCAGCCAGAGCGCCAGATTTTGCAGGATCCTGCAGGGCCAGGGGCGCACTGACCCAGTTTTGCATTGACCCGGGTCAGTGCGTCCCCGAAGTAAGGGGACTCCCAAAGCGAGTGGCGGTGGTCGTCATTGTCTTTCTCCCCAGGTTGGGCAGCCAGAAGCACTCGACGTCAAGGAGATGGGAGAGTTCGTTGACGGTTTCGCCGACCGCGTTCGGGAAAACACGACGTCCGCCTGCTCTATGATGCTGATCGAGTACCATGGCTACATGCACTGGATCCTCGAGAAAGGCGACTTCTCCAAGGCTGGGGGAGCCCGGCGATACAGATACCGTTGCTCCCCAGACCTCTCCCAGGGTGCGTTCTGACCAGCAGGTCGAAGCGAGTCCAGCCGTGGTGGCGAGGGCCTTCCAGGAGGCCCAACAATTACGAGAAACGAAGAAGGGGGAGGAGGAGGAGGAGGAGGAGGAGGAGGAGGAGGAGGAGGAGGAGGAGGGGGAGGAGGAGGCTGCTTCTCCTCTGGCAGGCTGGGGCAGTCGCCGAACGGTTGCTCGGCATCTTGGCCGACGCCGTGGCGGCCCCCTGTCTCGACGGCGCGCGCTCCGCGGCGCGCACGTGGCTGCGCCAGGCCATTCCGAGCCGCTTCGTCGGAAAGGTGCTGCCCGCCCTGCTCGGCACGAGCCCTCCGCACATCGTCGCGCGTGCCGCGGAGTTCGCGGAGCAGGTCGTCGCCCAGTCCCCCGAGGCCCTCGCCTACGTCTGCCCGTTGCTCAATGCCGCGGTGGAGCGCGACGGCGCCGAGGTCGCCCGGATGAGCCGGTGCTTGCGCGAGGCTGGAGATGCGCTGGCCCGCGACAGGGGGCTGTGGGACGCGGTCTCTTGGCGCCGCCTGCCCACGGCGCCAGCGCTGCTGAGCCCCGACTTGGCCGATCTGTCTGCGCTGCCGTCGGCCAAGCCGAGCTACGCGAGCACCGAGGAGTACTTGGACACCATGTACAGGCTCCTGCGAGCGAACTGCTTCGCCTCGGTCCAGCGAGGCGTCCGGAACATCTTGGAAGGCCGCGCCGCCAAGGAGGACGTGCGCATGTACCGCGCCAGGGTCCAGAGCTGCGGGCTATTGGTCCGGGGGGCGGGGGGCTTCGTCGTGAAGATGCTGTGCGAGCCGCTGCAGGTGGGTGCACATGCAAGGCCTTCCCGCGGACGGGCGCTCCAACATGGTGCAATTGTTGCTGTTTCGCTGGCCTCGCAGGCCTTCGCCAGGGTCGCGTGGGGTCGCGTCCTGGACCGCCAGGGCGGCGCGCGCTGCGGCATCGAGGCGAAGCTCGAGTGGCCGGAAGACCTCAACGGAGGCCTCAAAGGCTTCGACCTGCTGATGGCGCTGCTCTCGGCGACGGAGCGGCAGCTGCTCTGTGCCGAGGCCCCAGTCTTCTTCCAGGCTCACGGGCCAGTGCTCCGCGTGCTGCAGTCGATGGACGCGGGGAGCTTGCCGCTCGGCGAGGCCCTGCTGGGCGGCGAGGCTGCAGAAGCAGCGACCCAACGCGACGTGGTGCCGGGCGCGCCCGCGGTGGAAGCACGGCTGAGGCGCAACCTAGAGGAGGAGAACATCAAGCTCGATCCCAAGCAGGACCGGGGAGGGGACTCCTCCTCCTCCTCCTCCTCCTCCTCCTTCTCCTCCTCCTCCTCCTCCTCCTCCTCCTCCTCCTCCTCCTCCTCCTCCTCCCCATCCTTCCTCTCCCCTGCCCTCCTCCCCTCCCGCCCCTCCCCTCAGGGGAGGGGGAGGGCGGGAGGGGAGGGGGGCAGGGGAGGGGAAGGGATGGGGGATGGGGGGGACCGGGAGGGCGAGGGCACGGGCGGCGGGGACGTGGACGGGGAGGGCGAGGCGAGGGGAGGGGGGATGGGGAGGGGAAGGGAGAGGGAGAGGCGGAGGGGGAGGGGAGGGGAGGGGAGGAGGAGGGGGAGGGGGGGGGCGGAGGGGGACTGGGTTCGGAGCGAGGAAGGAAGGACGGAGAGAGGGAAGGAAGGAAGGTTGGACGGAAGGAAGGAAGGGATGAGGAGGCTGAGGAGTAGGAGCAGGAGAAGAAGGATGAGGAGGAGGAAGAGGAGGAAGAGGAGGAGGAGGAGGACGAGGAGGAGGAGAAGGAGGAGGAGGAGAAGGAGGAGAAGGAGGAGGAGGACGAGGAGGAGGGAGATGAGAGAGAGAGAGAGGGATGCAAGCCTGATCCCAAGCAAGGCCGAGGCGCTTGAGCGCCTCGTCAGGCGGCCACTTGCAGTGGTGCAGGGGCCACCAGGCACTGGCAAGACTTTCACGAGCCTCCTGGCGGTCAAGGCGCTGACGGCCACGCGCGAGGGCCAGGAAGGCGACGACCCCGAGGTCAGCGGAGGAAGCAGCGGCGAGGAGGCGCGAGCTCCCGAGGGCGATATTCCCGTTCTGGTGCTGTGCGACAAGAACCACGCTTTGGACGAGTTCTTGGTGAAGGCGCTGCGCTTCACTAAGAGGCTCGTGCGCCTGGGCGGCCGGGCGTCGGATGAACTCCAGGGCTACAACCTGCAGAGCATGGCCTCCCAGCAGCCGAAGGACCCTGTCCTGGGGCGCAGGCTGCGCGCGGTGTTCGAGGAGCGAGTCGCGAACAGGGACAGCATCGTGGCTATGATCGCTGAGCTCTTCGAGTCAACGGCGCTGCCTCGACTGTTGCTTACCCGGGCAACCTTGGAACAGCTCAAATCGTTGGTGAATGGATGTCCCGTGCAGCACAGCAGTCACGAGGCCGTCAGCAATTACCTCGAGCACGGCCTGCGAGAGGACGTGGGGCCCGAGGATCTCGAGCTCTGCCTCCACGAGTGGCTCCGCGACGTGCCCATGCGGCTGCGCAGCGGAGGGCACCCGGCGCACCTCGACGCCGCGCAGAGGGAGGAGCGCGAGGAGAGCAGCGACGACGACCCCGACGACCGGGCCGGGCACCAGCAGTCGCTGGGAGCGCAGACGTTGCCTCTGGAGATGCCAGACTGGCGGGGCTTCGACGTGACCGTGGGCAGCCACGCGGAGGCGCTGGAGGCGGCCGCGGCGGAGGACCTGTGGTCGCTTGGGGCGGAGGGCCGGGCGGCGCTGCTGCAGCACTGGCTCTCCTCGGAGGCGGAGGCGGCCAAGGCCGAGGTGGACGCCGCGCTCGAGGTCGACGCGCTGCTCGGAGCCCGCCTCGCGGAGCTGGAGCGGCAGAGGAGCGGCGTCGTCCAGTCGACCGTCCACCCCCTGTGCGCACTGGCGCGGCAGCAACTCCTGGGAGCCCTGCGCGTCTTCACACTTCCTTCCTTAGGGTGCAGCAGAGGGCGCAAGCGCCCGGCAGTCGCTGGGAGAGCGCCGAGGTAGCGTCTATTCAGCGCCGATCCGCAAGGGCCAGAAAGATGACACGCAAGGGCGCCCTCGAGGGCGCGAAGGCATTCGCGCTTCGCGCTCGTCCTCCTCTTCTCCCCTGGGGGGCGTAAAACGACACGAAGATCGGGACACAATCGGATCGGGATAACTCGAAATCTCTGAGAATCGGCGGGTTTGGAGGATGTATTCAGGCCGCGGCCGCTCCAGAGCGTTCCGGTACGCTCTGAGAGCGCTCCGGAACGCTCTGGAGCGATTTATCCCGATCTTAGCCCTGTTTTAGGACGGCGCGACAGCGCGAAGCGATCCGCGCTTCGCGCAGCGCGAAGCGCGAGGTTAGGCGCTCTTGGACACGGGAAGCCCCCATGATCACCAGGCGCGTTCCGCTTCTCGCAAAGTGTTTTCTCGCAAACGTCCAGAAATCATGCGTCTTCCTCTGTGTAACGTATCGCAAATCTCCGGCGGCGGATCCAGGCCGTTTGCGAGTAGCTACTTTCCGAGTAGTGGATCGCGCTTGTCGACATGAGCTGCCGCAGAACTGCCCCCATGGTCACTGGGCCACGGTACCCCGGCCCCACCAGCCCACCCTCCTTGGCGGGGACAGGTGCAGGAGCAGGCACACAACCCCACCCAGGTAGTCAAGCCTCTTAAGTCGGGCCCTTCCCCTCTACAGGAGGATGATTCAAAAATGGTAAAAAATAGTCTGGGGACGACATTTTTGACTATTTTTGAATATTTGTTGACCACATTTTATTTTTCGTCCAAAATCCGCCTGTAGGAGGACATGCCTGACCTAAGGCAAGCCGGCCAGTGGCAGTGGGGATAGGGATCGGTTCCGCTCGCGCGTCGCGGTCTGGGCCAGAGCGGCTGCCTTTCTCCGAGAGGGGCTGCGCGAGTGGCCTAGGGCGCGAAGAGGACCGGGCGTCGCGCCATCGCGGGGCGCGAGGGCATGAAGCTGGGCGACCTGCGGTCGGGAGGTGTTAGACTGTGTCTCTCCGCCAGCTCTGGTTCTCCGCGCTTCGGAACGCAGGACGCCGAACGCAGCTGTCCGCGCCCGGGAGGGCGGCCCAGATGACAGGCGACAGGCGTGCTTAGCACGCTGGCCCTTCGGAGAAGAGCCGGTGTAGCTGCTGTGAAACATGATGCGTCACACGTAATGTCACTTCCCACACGGTGTGAGAAGGAAGCAAAACGGCCCAACGCTGCAGCGAGAGAGAGCCACGCCACCACGTCCCAGTTCCCGCGCGTCCGCGCCTCGAGCCTTCCCGAGCCTCCCGCCGCGCGGATCGGCGCGGCGCGCCGTCCGCTCGCGGGGCGCGGCGTGTCGCCAGGGCCGCCGCAGCAGCCCGCGGTCCGGAAGAATTCCCGGCCGGAGGAGCACGGCCGTGCTCCGCTCCGCGCAGATCGTCGCCTGCACGATCTCGGGCGCGGCCATGCGCGCGGAGCTGCTGCGCGAGGTCGGCTTCCGCGACGTGGTCGTGGAGGAGGCTCCGAAGGGAAGAGTAGGCACAGGCACAAGTAGTGGTCGATTTTCTGGAACATGTGGGAACGTGTGGGAAGTGTGGGGGCGAGACGATCATCCAGAACGGGTGGACAAGCATTAGGAATCCTGGAGCGTGTGTCTATACATTTGAGCGACGCAAAGGAAGGAGGTCGTCTGCGCAGACATTGGCCCGTAAGCTGCCCGCGTAAGGTCGCGCGTAAGTGCCCTCGCTTCCAATGCAGCGTGCCGCGCTGGCGGCCCGCGCAAGCCGCGGCGTGAGTTCGCTATGCCATCTCGCGTAAGCCCCGTTTTTGATCGTCGCTCATGTGTTTATTTCCCTGGGACCCTTGTATCAAGGGAGGAAATACCACCCGAACCCGACAATCGACGTTTACTGAACGGCCCTGGGCGTTTACCAAACTTCCCTGCCCTGTTCGATCCCCTCTTTGGGCGCGTTTCCTAAACGGCTTCGCGTGCCGGGGTGGTTCTTCTGAGGGTGGGGTTCCTGCTCTCTATTGTAGAGGCCGCGGAGATCCTGGAGCCACAGCTAGCCGTGGCGTGAGTTCGCCATGTCACCTCGCGTAAGCCCCGCTTTTGATCGTCGCTCGTCTGTCTGTCTCCACTGCAGAGGCCGCGGATATCCTGGAGCCGCAGCCAGCCGCGGCGTAAATTCGCCATGCCATCTCGCGCAAGACAAGTGTTTGATCGTTGCTCATGTGTCTGTTTCCCTGGGGCCCTTGAAGAGGCCGCGGAGATCCTGGAGCCGCAGCTGGCCGCGGCGTGACCTCGCCATGTCATCTCGCGTGAGACTCGTTTTTGAGCGTCGCTCATGTGCCTGTTTCTCTGGAACTCGTGTCAGGGGAGCGAAGAACGACACAAACATAAAAACTCGGAGGTCCGCGTGGATTCCTCGGATCGGCACTGGACCCCCCTCCCTGGCGCGCGGAGCGCGCCAGGGGCGGCGCCGGAGGCGCCGCCAGGGGGACCCCAGCGCGGGTCCGAGAATCCGCGCGGACCTCCGAGCTTTCATGTCCGTGCCACCTCTCGCTCCCCATGAGCGGCTTCGCGCGTCGGTGCGGCTGCTCCGATGGTGGGTGCTCTGCCCTCGACCCGTGCAGGCCGCGGAGATCCTGGAGCCGCAGCTGCTGGCCGCGCTCCCGGCGACCACGCGCCGGCTGCTGCTGGTGGGCGACCACGAGCAGCTGCGCCCGCGCCTCGAGGAGGAGCCTCTCTTCAGGGGGGATGAAAGCACGCAGATTCGATGTCTGTTCATGGGAACCTTGGGCGGCGACGTTGAAATCTGCTTTTCCCGCGTGTGGACAGAGTGGGGACCGCATTTGGCCCATCCTCCTGCTCCTCCTCTCCCCTCCTATTCCCCCTCCGCCTCCTCGTTCTCTTAGCCCCCACGAATCCAGTCCAAGTCTGGTCGAAATCCGGTCCAAATTTGTTCCAAATCCGGTCCAAATCAGGCCCAAATTGGACAGTACAGGGGGCCACGCAGGCTCCCATGGAACGGACACCAAACGCAGACACAGTCGATCGTCGATTCCCCAGAAAACATTGGAAAATATGGGGAATCCTGTTAGTGGTGTCTATTTTTAAGTCGGGCCTGTCCCTCTACAGGGGGAATATTCAAGAATAGTCAAAAACTAGTCTGGGGACTATTTTTGACAATTTTGGAGTATGTTTGAGTATTGATGATTTTTCGTCGAAAATCCTCTATTTTCGTTGTAGGGGGACACGCCCGACTTAAACCTAAACGGTGTTTTGGCGATTTCGTGGGCCGGTTTCGTTTCGATTTCGTCTTGCGTTAGAAGCGGACTGAAGACAAAACGAGGGAAAACGAAAGCAAAACGAAAACGAAAAACACCGTTTAGGTTCAGCCCTGGTTTTCCCTGTGGTAGCACGATGACTGGACGAAAAGGTTCGGGGGCCACCCGCGAACCCCACCCGCACCCCCCTCAGAAATCGTGTGGAGTAGGGGTAGGGTTCGCGTGTGGCCGCCTAAAGGTGGGGAGGGGGGTACAATGAATCGTCGACTCCCAGGAAAACATGCGAAAGTATGGGAAGTGTGGGCGGAGACGGACATCCAGAAAATATGCAAAAAGATAGGGAATCCTGGGATTTGTATGTATTTATTGAATCGCTTCGCTCATTCCGTCTACCCTGGAGCCCTCTTTAGGGCCTCTTGGGGACCTCTTGTGAGTGTCTTGGGGCTCCTTGGCGGCGTCTTGGGGGCCCCCAGGGCCTCTTGGGGGGCTCTTGGGGGCCTCGTGGGGCAGGAGGGGGGTAGTCGATTGCGACCCCCCCCCCTCGGAGGCCACGATCCTCGTGAGGGGTGTCGAAGAATTGCCCAGTCCGGCATCTCTGACCCGACCTTCCCGGGACTTGCCCGGGGTATTTTCCGCCCAGGGACCCCCAGGGGCCGCCCCGCGCGCGCGAACTAGAAACATTGTTCACTAGTTACCGGAGATCTTAGCACGCCTCTGGCCCGTTGGGCCAGCGAATTTGTGTGTTTGTGGGCCCCTTCAGATATCACGACCGCTGGACGAAAAGGTGGTGGGGGGGTGCGACATCTGGTGCGCGCAGCCGGATTCGCCTCCGCCGCTGGGCGCGCTCTCTCGACGCACTGGCCCTGCCTCCCGGCTGCTGGGAGGCGCCAGGGAACTGCCTCGCTAACCCTCGGGGGCGGCAAAGAGGGGGGTGGTGACTAACCCGAAGAAGCAATTACAGAACCCCCCCCCCTTCCGGCGAAACGATAACCGTCCCGCACCCTGGAAGCGTTATTCTGGCACCTGTGGCTAGGAGGAGGAGGAGGAGTTAGGGGGGGGATATCATAGCGGGGGCCATGATATGTCCCCAGATTTCCTGGCGCCTCTTCTCACTTCAGTGCGTCCCTGGCCCCCCCCCCCCTGGGCCGCGCACATGCCGCTGGTCATGATTTGCACCCCCCCCTCTTGGACACCCCCCTCGTGGCCGCTCCCGAACCCCCCCTTGGGTCAGGCGATCGCAAACATGGATCAAGGGGGCGTGGATTAGCGACGGGTCCCGCTTCCATGGGAAATCGCAGGTTTCCGCCGCCGAACGGGGCGGCACCGGCCGCATTTGGGGGAGAGCGCCTCCCCCGATCCATGGATTCGGCGACCGCGCGCCAAATCCACGGATCGCTATCCATGTTTGCGCACCCCCGATTGGGGTGCAGCGGGGGGTGCATGTCCTTCTACAGGGGGAGCAAAAGTAGTCCAAACATAGTCTGGGGACGATTTGGGAGATTTTTTGTCACCGTGCATTGCATGAGCATCTTCTATGACTAGCTATAATCTTTCGTCCAAGATCCGCCCGTAGGGGGACAGGCCCGACCCAACGCTGGAGTGGCCCAGCACTGGTTCCGGCCAGCAGGAAGATGGGGGCCGGCGGGGGCGAGGTTCGAGACTCGAGGTGGTGGGTTCGAGACGTTTTGTTGTTGTTGTTGTTGTTGTTGTTGTTGGTGTTGTTGTTGTTGTTGTTGTTGTTGTTGTTGTTGTTGTTGTTGTTGTTGTTGTTGTTGTTGTTGCTGCTGCTGCTGCTGCTGCTGCTGCTGCTGCTGCTGCTGCTGCTGCTGCTGCTGCTGGCTGCTGCTGCTGCTGCTGCTGCTGTTGTTGTTGTTGTTGTTGTTGTTGGTTGTTGTTGTTGTTGTTGTTGTTGTTGTTGTTGGTGTTGTTGTGTTGTTGTGTTGTTTTGTTGTTGTTGCTGCTGCTGCTGCTCTGCTTATCTATGCTGCTGCTACGGCTGCTGCGCGCCTGCGCTGCGGCTGCTTGCTTGCTGCTGCTAGTGCCTTGCTGCTGCTGCTGCTGCTAGCGCTGCTGCTGCAGCTGCTGCTGCTGCTGCTGTTGCTGGCTGCTGTTTTGTTGTTTGTTGTTGAACATTATTTATTCTAAAGAATAATTATTGTTGGCCCCCTGGTGCGCGCCCCCCCTGCGCCGCCTAGGCCGCAGCTACATTTTCATCATTTTCGTGAGGAAGCCTCAGAAAAGAGGGTGTGTACAGGATCCGGTTGTTTTGTTGTAATCCGTTTTCCCTTGCAAAAAACAATAGAAAATGACATTTCTTGTTCTAATATAATCAAATTTCAAGAATCCCTTGCAAAAAAATAAGGTAAAGTGGACATTCGCGCGCGCAAGACGAAATCCTTCCAAAACCTTAGTGTTCGCAGCGATTTTAACATTAAAACATCAAAAAACCAATGGTTTTTCAACAAAAAATTGTCAAAATCTCATCCCGCGCGCTCTTGCGGATTCGTAGGAAACCCAACACTTTTTTAAACATTTCTGTCAAACGGGCTTTTGCGAGCAACTTTTTCGAACTTCTGCGACAACGGTTGCGCACCTGCCAGGGCCATCATCCCTGTCCAATAATACCATGCGGGACACATTCGTTTTTTCTTCGCGCGCGCACGCCGAAATCTCCAAAAACCATTGGGCTTCTTAAGAATTTTAGCACCGCGCATCATAAAATCACACGAATCGCACCGTAGGTCCTCGAAAAACACCTGCACGACTTTCAAAATTTCTACCCGCGCGCGCTGTCCGAATCCTAAAAAAACCAATGGTTTTCCAACATTTATGTTTCATGAGCTCGCGCGAGCTACTTTCGCACGCTCTTGCAACGGGGTTCGCGCGCCTGCCAGGGGCCATAATCCCTTGCGGTTGCGCCATAGGTTGCGCCCTCGGCCGCCGAGAATAAAACGCCCCCCTATTGGTTGCGCCATAGGTTGCGCGCTCGGCCGCCGAGAATAAAACGTCCCCTACTGGTTGCGCCATAGGTTGCCCCAGGAGGCCTTCAAGAGGCCCCAAGAGCCCGCCGTGAGGACCCAATAAGCCCCCAAGAGGCCCCAAGATGCTTCCAAGAAGCCCCACAAAGCCCCTCAAGAGGACCCCAAGCGGCGCCAGGAGGCTTCCCCCCTTCCCCAAGAGGACCCCAAGCGGCCCCAGGAAGCCTCCGACTGATCACTGTCACATCCGTAGCCATCTCGGATCAAGGTATCGCCTGTGTTCTTGGATGGGTCATGGCTTTGTCGGCGAAAGCCCTTGACGACCAGTATGGCCCAGAGCTGTCGCGGCCTCCCTTGGCCGACCGCGAGAGCCCGTATTATTTGCATCAGGCGCTCGTTGCAAAGGGTATCCAGGTCAGTCACCAGGCGTGCAAGACTTGGTGGGGCAAATATCGGGTTGTGCCTGGCAAGGTTAGTATTTCTAGCGCCCAGGAGCTGGAGGAGCAGCGCGGTTCTGCCATCCGCCACCTGGGCATCGAGTATAATACACCTTTCAAATTATGCGGGGCGCTCCGACAGTTGGATCCACCACTGTATGTGACAGATCAGGTCGCAAAGAGGCCGCTCACTCTTCGAGCTGGTGGTTCCTTCCGGGCATGCCTCCAGAGAGTGCCTGGAACGAGGTGCCACCAGCTCGAGGGGAAGGCGCGGCCACCCCCTTAGCTGGTGGTGTTGGTACTTTTTTCTCTCCTGAAAGGTGCTGCGCGAGACCACGTGGTTCGCGACCGCAGTGTATTTTCCGTGTATGTGGCAGGGACTCACGGGTGTATGCCTGCGTGTGTCGACCGCGGAGAGCACGCGCCGTTCAAAGTAGAACGGCATGGTCGAGAACCAGCGGCGTATGGGAGGCATCGAGACCCCAGAGTGGATGGCGTTCGCTGTATACTTCTACCCTGGCTTGGTATTTCGCAACTTTATGGTTACTCAGATCCGCCGCGCAGTATCTGCAACACTGCGGAAATACAATCGCTTTGTGCACCAAACTGTATCGCGAAATGGATCGCACGTATGTCGCCGACCGGCGGCTGGGTGTACGCTGGCTTGCCAGTGCTTTGCAGCTCCTCTCATTCACAGTCATTCCGAGGTGGATCAAGGTTCTCACACAAGCGCATAGTCGAGCCTGATGTAATTTGTGGCAACCCAACACGGCTCCATGCATGATGCCGCCAGCATGCTCTGTGGTGCTCAGTGCGCGAGCGCGCACGACTCAAGAATGGTATTAAAAATAAAAAAATAATAAAAAAAATACACCTTGTTTCCGAAGCAGGATCATTGGTGGCACATGCCTGTATGGCGTTCTTTCGGGCAGTCCGAGTATGGGAATGTCATGGATTACCGTGTGGATCTGGGCATGCCGGCGCATGTCCAGGGCGCCCTGGCGGTATTGGCGCCCCACGGACGCACGGGCGATGTGTC